TGTTCCTATATTTTCTCTCTGTTCTAATCTACAGCTTTTACCCTATTAAGTTTTTACTTCCATTCTCTCCTTTCTTTGCCCTAGCCCAAAGTCCTTCCTTTTGTTCCAGACATGACTGTCTTTGATGTATGACTGTGCTCAGCTCGTGGTTCCAAGCATTGCTAATACTACTGAGTACAGACTAAATGAATGATTATTCTTTTACAGGTCAGTGGAATAAGCACATTAGGGGAAAATATAGCAGATAATGGAGGAGTCCGACAGGCTTATAAGGTAACCTCCAAATATACTGTGGGGTAACTTTACCCCTGGGATTCAGCAATAGCATTATTCTGTCAATAGAACATTGACAATGTTATTACCATATTCAAAACCTTAAAACCTCAATTATGGATCTAGCAGCTTACATCCCAGTCACAGTGTAGGATTGCTGCATTCTTGCACCCAGGAGAAGACCACCTCATTCTCCTGGCTGTACTTTGAGCTACCACAGTGCTTGATGCTGCACACTTCTGTGTCAGCTAATCAAGAGTAACACTCACCAACAGGCACAGGATTAGCTTGGGAGAAGGTAAAACACCCTCACCTTTCTAAAGCCCTTGATTCTGAAAATGACAGCTACACCTTCAAAGAGCTTCTTACATGGCAACAGAGCACTGATCTCTTGGCAACACAGTCTGGTGATATGGGGAAGCAGAGCAACTGTTTTCCCCAAGTTTGTTTCTCTCAAATAAACTTGCAAAGCTGTGCAAACATGGCAGGGTGCTGTAGGATGACAGGAGCTGCCTGCACAGAATCCTCCAATGTAAATGTATTTTCACCCTCAGCTCTACCTTTGCTGTTTGTGTGCTTTGAGACTGTCAGCAACGAAGAGGATCAGGTACTAGAACGTTTGAAATCAGCCAGCGTGAGGACACATTAATTTGTCTCCATTATGTCAATAGACCTAAAAAAAGAAAATTGGCCAATTAATTTGTAACAATACCGGTAATGGATTTAACATTGTGCAAGGTTATTATCTGCTATTTTATGAGCAGCTACCTGAAGAGAGAAAAATCATCACCATAGAGCTTAACGCTTTATTTCCAGACACAAATTCCTATAGGATAAGTCAGTGGAAGGTGATGATTTTACTTCAGGCTGCAGTCATGGGTGTTCAGGCTCCTCAGCATGAATGACCGTGCATGTATCACCAGTGGCATGCCTCTCTCTAAAGCAGCAAGTGCCATCTTCCTGAAGAAATGCAGGGTATATCTCCAGGTGGCTCTGTAAAGAACACACAGAGCTCCTCATGGTGAAGGTCATCTGGTCAACTGCTACTCTAAAACAACACTTTCATGCAAGAGTCTGCTATTTTTTCCCATTTCATAACAGCTCAGTTCAGAGATTACTGTACTTGAGAAGCTGAATGTGAATTCTCTCTGTGTTACATGGGTTTTGCCAGAACAGTCAACAGAGTACTTCTGTGACAGCTTTGTCATAAAATTAGCTGCACTGTTTGTATTAGAAAGATAAAAACTATGAAAATACAGAAGAGCAGATGTGTTGGGTTCATATACATTGTGACTGAAATCTCTCACCCCCAAATAACATTCAGAATACCCACCATGCCTGAATAGGCCACTCTGCTGTCTGAATTGCATCTGTAATCATTTCTAGGCCTACTTAAAATGGCTGGAACGGGAAGGGAAGGAGCCAAAGTTGCCAGGACTGAATCTGTCCCACAAACAGCTCTTCTTCCTCAACTTTGCCCAGGTAAGAACACTTGGGTGCAGCCACTACATGCCTCATGAAAGTATGAATTAGGTTATCTTAGAGGTTAGAGAGAAGATCAGTCCCAAGCTCCACTTGGACAATGGCTCATTTTTGCACTCATCAAAAGGTCCTCAAGAGAGACATGAAAAAGATGGCCTGGATGAGAAACTCTTAGAGTAACAGATGTGATACAGTAGGTTAGATATTTGATAGTGGGCCAACACACTTGGTGGTGTGCTTCAGACTCTGAACCTCCAGCTCATCTGGGGAAACATAAGTGAAATCAAGGGCTAATATGTCTACCCTAAAGCATCAGATCTTAATCCAAGAACTTGATAAAACAAAAAGTAATTAGTTAATCATTATAATCATTATTCTGCTTTCTCAGTACAACATATTCCAACTATACTGTAAGAAATTTAGGAAAAACTTGGAAAACCAGTAAGCAGGTCCCCAAGCTGAATTCTCTTTAATACTGACCCACTAATGTTTAATCCTCCTTGTCTAGGTTTGGTGTGGTTCCTACAGACCAGAATATGCTAGCCAGTCCATAAAGACAGATGTTCACAGCCCTCTGAAATACAGGTGCGTTTTACTAACTGATTTACTAACTGATAACTTACTTGGTTCAACCCATTGTGCCAGTATGGCACAGGAGGAGAGAGAGGCTCACTGCTATGAGCTATACTCTAACAAATCAATCTGGACTAACTTTAAGAGCTTCTCCCATAGCTTGTAGGACAGTGCTGGAGAGCACATTCCTTTGCTTGGCCTGGTGAAGTTGCCAGTCTGTAGAGAATGGACCAGAATGCTCTGTTCCAGCATTTCGTTATTCCTATCAGCTGTACTTTTATTGCATAAATTATCCTGTCTTCTGAGACTTGGATTCCAACATGGTTTTCTGTTTTCAAAGCAACAATCTCCATGCCCTGTATCCATGCAAATAAATTCCTTCTCTTTGTGTAGGGTGATGGGGTCTTTGCAGAACTTTGAAGCATTCTCAGAGGTGTTCCACTGTAAGAAAGGCACAGCCATGCATCCTGCAGAGAAATGCAGAGTCTGGTAACCAAAACCACTGGTGAGAATGACACGTACTCTGTGACACAAACAAGAGACGTGCCTGATGTTCTCCCCTTCAGTCACAGCCAAGGCTCATGGTGCAGCTACTGTAGTGAGAATCCAGGAAACTACAGCCCTCGAGCTCTTACAGTCCCACTGGGAAGCACACAGGTATCCCAATGACTGATGGGCTGTGCTGGAAGCCACGGCATGCTCCAGAACAGGAATGACTGTTTCAATGACATCCTGACTGTTATTAAGATACTGCATCAGGGTTACAAAGACTACTTCTTAGATAAAAGCAAAACCAACAACCAACTGTACATCTATTTTTCAGAAAGGAACAATAATTCTAGTCTCTCTTACAACCACCCCTTCTGAGACACAGCAAACTAGCTTGAAATGCTTCGCTGAACTATTTCCCAGTGTTCTGAGCCAGTTTCTGGTGCATTCTTCCTAAATCCAGGTTAGAGCTAGCTTGAACTCCCATGCTGTCTGTATACTTGATCCCTGCTTTGCTGTAAGAGACTGCTATTTGTCTTACTGTGTACAAAGTGAGCTCTATGTTAAGACGCCTGTCAGCTGCTATCGTAATGCAAAGCTGCACTCTCCTGCTGCACTCAAGTTCCTCTGCTCCAAAGAACAACTGAGACAGGACCTTAAAGTGAAGTAAAGAGATCACATTTTTTAGGAGCACAAATTCTGGTGTCATGGTTAAAAGAACACGGTCCCTCCCTTCAGAGATGTATTTAAAATGATGCTTCTTCTTGTAGAAAGTGTATAAAATACTCTTTGCCAAACAGCAAACATGTATCCATGGAAACAATGAAGCTGATTTTAATCCTGTGCCTTTTCATTTTGCCATAGGCTATTTTTCAGTATTTACACTTGAAAATGTAACAAGTATGGGTTTTTAATAAAAGAAATAAAACCACAGTGCCCAATGCAGCAGTTTACTCTAGAGCAAGGGTTTGGGTGGCTCTCCTCGGTAAGCATGCTAATATAGTGACAGTATTTTAAACTGCCAACACTTTGTGCTCAATTTTAAATACTTTTCCAGCAATCGCTTTTCTTTCCAGCACAGAAATCATTAGAAAGCAAGAACAGAACCTAGCACATTGTCCAGAGAAGCTGGTGGCAGTGACAGGCACAGCTTTACAAGCATCATATAACCGTATGTCTCAGTCAGAGACTCTGGCGAACAGTCCTACTAGAACAGAACACCTTCATCAGTAACTAAGCAGATAAATACATGGAACCAGACGGCACTTAGCAAATGCTGCAGAAAATACTTCAGCCTAGTAGAAAATTCTCTACCCAGAGTTGTTTTGCTGCAGATCTGGTTCCATTTTAGACTTGTACACAATTAAGTGTCAGAGAAGCTTTATTACATACTTGGGAAAAGAAGAAAGATTCAGACGTTTCCCAGGATGAGGGGAAAATGAAGTCTTTTCTTCTCCCATGCTTCCACCTGGTGGCAAATGGAGCTACAACGTCTAACTCAGACCAAAAGACGCGTAAACATCACAGCTGGCTCAGGCACACCGCCCGCAGACTCTGATTTGGTGCTCGAGGAGCCCTAATTCAGGTAGGTGCAACGGCAGCAAAAGGCCCTACCCAGGTTTGTGTGCCCCCACCAGCGTAGCACTCACCCCTCCACCTCTGCAGGAGCTCTACCACCGCTGCTCCGTGCTGCTCAGGGAGAGCTGCAGCTTTGTGGGACACTTTATTCACACCTCTGAGCTCTCAAGAGAAGATACTGTGGGAAGGCATTAAAGGATACAAAGCAGTGCAGTGATTGAGTCTGCTTCCTCTGAGTCTGAGGTGCAAAAAGGTGTGAAAGGAGGATTCGGATTCCAGCCACTACCTGCAGGGAAACCAGATGGCTGGTTCGAGGCCTCACTGCTTGGGTGAGAAGGTTTTGTATGGATAGGAGAGGCAGTGACTAAGGAAATGCTCAGTATGATTCAGCTGAAAGAATCTATGTGACAGTAGCACTTGCTTTACTCTTGGGGTACGCACGTGATGGGAGACATGAGAGTATATAGATGAGAATACAAACTCCTTCTGCTGTACAAAAAGACCCAGCTCTTTAGAAGACTGACATGTCAGACTGTCTCAGGGGTGCAGGTGGCTGCATATCCCTCAGAGAGAGAGAACCCAGACAGCAGTTGCACACAAATGCATTTTATTGCTCTCTACAAATACAGAGACGCATACACAGTATGCAGGTAGCCATAGGGCTGTCCCACTTGTGGGAGAAACACTATCCACCATGAATTAAACCACTCAATACAGACAAAAATCATTATTATAATGAAAATGCTAGAAAAAGCATAGCTTACACACAAAATGTATAACATTGACAAATCAAGCCTTTTACCCACTACCTTTTCTTTAACGTAAAGCAGTAACGTCCTCTTCTAAACTGAAAAAAGCAGCAAAGTAGTAGAAATATTCCACATAGTTTCCTAGTTTCTGTCCTTTATATACTAGGATTACGAAAGGGCCATGGGGGAAAAATCCAAAACCAAACCAAACCAATCTCTGATTCTGTACAAGTTATAAGCAAACAGAGGGAAACTGATTTTAATCAAGTGTGCATGAACAAAAGGGCAGTAAATTTATCCTCCGGGGTGACTGAGCAAACAATTGTTGCTGGTCAAGCCAGAGCAGAGCTGATGCCTCTTACAAGCAATATGAGAGAAATCTCTCCTACAGCAATTCGTGTCCATCACAACTGTAACACTTACAAAACACCCCCCTTCATTTTGAAGGCATTCACCCCTGGCTGGCAGCACTCTGTGTACTGTTACCAGCAGTGTCTACACAGCTCCAGGACCATGCAACAGAATGCCTGAACTTTTGCCAAAGGATTCCAAAGTCAAAAGTGTGCCATTCTATGTACTGATAAATAAAATACACGGGGAAATAACAATCCCCACAGAAGAGAGGATCGGAGCTGGACTATCAGATGCAGTCAGATCCTTCATCTGGACTGTAAAAGGCAAAGGTCCACGAAATAAGGACTCCTGGACTACCAGGGCCTCCAGAGGGTGCTGGCATCTTTCGGAGACGCTGGCTTCAGGATGCTAGGGTTCCCGGGGGAAAAGGCGACCTCCGTGGCAACCGACTGGCTCTTCTGGAAGTGGCTTAAAAGTTTGGTCTGTGTTTCAGTTCGGACTTTGTGAAGAGAGAGGAAATGGAAAGCCTCTTGCAAACACCTGGAATAGCCCTCTCTGAAGTCAAACTGAGAGCTCTTATGGAAGGGTCCTGCAGCTAAAGAAGGGAAGAAAAGAGGAGGGGAAGAAAGAATAGATTAGAGCAGTTATTCGTGGCTAGAGGTTCATAAAACTGTCACAGGTCTGCAGTAAGCTGGAGACTGAAACAAAATTCAATACTCACCCTTCACCTGCAGCTGGCTCTGCTGCTTGAGGTAGCTGACAGCCATCTCCAGGATGTCGGCTTTCTCCAGCTTGGAGTTGGGCTGGTGTCTCTGGAACTCCTTCTCCAGCAGGAGTTTCAGCTGCTCAATGCTGCTGTTAATCCGGTCACGACGCATTTTCTCCACCACGGGCTTCCTCAGCTGTAAAAAGCAAAGAGACCTGTTATTAGAAGGATCCTCTCCCTGCCTTTCACAGCATCTTTGCTGCCCATCACTGCTCCTAAACAATGTGGACTGGTTTCTCAGGTGGTTTAAACCGCTCTGAGAACAGCTGAGAGCACGGCTAAAGCCTTGCTGTGCCAGGACTTACTTTGTTTTTCTCCTTTGGTGTCAGCAGGTTGTCGGGCTCCATGAAAACAGTGCTGGGAGCCATCTGTCCTAGGAAAGGAGGGACAGTCTCGAAGTGGAAGTCCAGGAGAAGCGTGTGGCTGGAGGCTGGCTCTGCCTGGTATTTATACTGTACAACCTCTCCAAGAGTCTGTGGGTCTCTGGCTTGGTGGTGTTTCCCACACTCCACAGCCAATCGGGGAGAAGGGCAGCACAATAGGAGAAGCATCTATTCTTGCATGCTCCATTGCCACTGAATAGCCTGGGGATAATGACCTTCTCCCAGATGAGCAGGTGGGGAGTGTGTGGTACGTGAAAGGCTGGGATCAGAATTACGTGTCAGAAGCTGGGAAAGAGCTGGCCTTCAATGGGAAAAGGCTGCTGACTAATGCCGCAGATCAATAGCATTCCCGGCGCAGCCTGCGGCTCACACGGTGCAGGAAGGAGCAGGTCAGCTGCCGGTGGCGGGAAGGGACGCTCACAGGACAGGCACACGCTGGAGCAGGCACCCAAGCACACGCACACACCAGCACGTTCTGCCTGCCCGGGGAAAGAGCAGGATCTCTGGAATCCCACCCGCCCAAGGCCAACCGCTCTCCCCCAGGGACTGTGTTAGCAGTCCGGCCCATGTGAAACAGAAAACAGGTCACTATTTCAATTTAGGCCATGCACAAAGGAAAACTGAGCACAAAAGGAATCTGGATGGCCCATAAACTTGTTAGAAATCAAAATTCCTGATTCCTCGCTACTCTCCACTGGGCCAATTTCTATGCTGAGATGCACAGTCCTTGTTAAGTAGGTTCCTGCAACAGGAAGAGTTAACGCTCTTGCTATTTGCATCCTGTAAACGCACAGTGGAAATGTATGATGGAAAACATGAACCAGATCTGCCTGCATTTTACCTGCCTTCTGCCCGTGCAAGCACTGCCTTCTTTTGTGAGCTCTAAAAGGAGGACACGGCAGCAGTGTTTTCTGCATCCTCTGGACATGCACCCTGGACTGTGTGGAGCAAGGCTGGCAGGGATGTTGCCCTGTTACACCACAAACAGGGTGCAATGGGCAGGCAGCAGCACTAACCCCATGTCTAGAACCACACATTCTGGTCCCAGATTTACTCCAAACGGGCTACATGACCTAAGCAGTTTAACGCTTTTGTCTGTGAGCACTGATATCTCCCTCTCTAATTCAGTACAGGAGTAATAATAATAATAGTAATAATAGTAGTAATAAATTAGTGTCAAGTAATGTTAGGGCTTGTGTTTGGGGATCTCTTACTGTAGTAATTACTGTTTGTATTTACATTAATATATGTGCATTTATGTATATAGTAACACAGGCGTGTGTGGTCACACGTCTTTCAATGTGAATACGTATACCCACGGACACATTTCTCTCTCCCTCTGCAACTCATTATTCGTAAGACCAGGTAAGGTTTAAATGACCTCTTCCAGGATCTGCTTTTCCATCCCTATTGTACTGCTCTTGAATAGGCTCCTTCTTTTCGTACAGAGCAGCAGCTGTTGAGCTCGGAGTCTTTTATGTCAAGTTGTGGGAAAGCTTTTGTGACACCATTTCACATGTTCTCCTCAAAGCTTGTGCATTATCTTTGAGCCCATGTAATGCCACCTCTGAAACCAGTCTTTCGCTCTGTGTATCCCTCCTGGGAAGATTCTCTGAAACAGAAACTCCTGAGTAGTAACTCATTTCTTGAGCTCGTTAATCAAGCGCATGAAGAAGAAATATGCCAGTCCCGTGATCAGCAGGGCCCACTGGCACTTTTACGAGAGAGTTTCTGGTTCCCAGATTAACTCACTAATAATCAGCTACAAGAACAGCAATGATTTCCCCTTCCAGTACAAGTCACATCAACAGGCACTCCTGGTTTAGTCCAACAGAGCTACTTAAAGTCTCAGATACCTTCCCTGCAATTATCCACAGCACACAACAAGAAGTCTAATTCTCAGGAATCTGAGCATTATTGCATTCCTGTATCATAGAACTTTTATCTGGGGGGAGGACTAATTTTCCATGATAAAGCTGTAGTAGAGCTGATGCATGATTTGAGTGACTTGGTCTGCCTCTGGCTTTCTTCTATTACAGCGGTGGGCTCTGGCTGGCTCTGGGGTTTGCCCAGTGGTCCTACAGATGTGTAGGAGGGTGGTAAGAGCCCAGGGTAGCAGCTGCTGCAGCCCCTCAGTCGCTGCAGAGCAGGCTGAGCCCATTGCCTCCTACACATCTGCCACCGTTCATTCTGCCTGGGAGCTCTGCACCAGGATTTTACACACAAACCTCTTATATCTCTACTCAGCACCCAGGGGATTCCTGAGTTAACTCCACTGGAATAGTCATACTAGCCTGAAATAAACACAGTTAAAATAGCTTTTTATTTTCTCTTTGGTTTCATAGTCTGTGAGGGGAAAAATGAGCCAATTACTGACTATCTTGGAAGAGTTACTCAGATTAGATGCTCAATTACCCAAAATAGATGTTCTGCTTCTCCTTTGGTTGGAAATCCTAAAGGAAACTGTTAACAAATTCTTCCCCATTATAAAGTTAGCAGAGTCAGTGGACTTTATGCTAAGGATAATGAATTCTGAATTATACACCTTCTACTATAGTTCCAAATATATACAATATTGCACAGAAAACTTAATAGGATCCCAAGATACTGGATTCTGGATGACATATCTGAACTATGGCACTAGCAAATAGCCTCCTGCCAGAATCTCTGCAGGATGTTAGCTCTTTAGGAAGACTTAAAGATGCTGCTGCTTTCCCAAGTCTTGAGAGATGCTCATTACTCCTGTTGCTTCTCTCCCGATATGTGCTGCCCAGATGGCCTTTTGGGAGCAGGGTTTCCCACTGAACACAATGCAGAGGCAAGCACCGTTGCTAATGTGGTTTGTAGTCAGGCACACTTCCTTTGTGACAGGAATGACTATAATTAAGAAATGGTGTGGGAAACTCAGAAGTACACAAACTTCCATAGCCTTATGTTAGTAAGTCATGCAGAAAGCTAAAAAGCTTTGGAGCAGGGACAGAGCAAAGCTTTGGAATAGAGAGTGGGAAAGACGGCAAGAGGAGACTCAATTAGTGTTGAGTCCTAGTGACCATCCTGAGGTGACAAACAGAATGGGTCCAACCCTACAGGCCTTACTTGGGTCCTCACTGAAACCAGCAGGAACTTAGGACTCCATGACAAGTGGAGCAGGCTGCTGGATTTGGCCTGCAGCTTTTGTACCTCCAGAGCTACCTCCTGACCCCTGTAAACTGGTGTAAACACAAATTCCCTCTATGCCTCCGGTGGAGTTCATCAAAATCCTAACCAGCAAAAGCTGAGCCTGGATTTTCACCTGCCAAATACCAATACCGGAATCTGGGCTAGTGTTTCCTATTTCTTTCATCCAAGCAACAGAGAACAGTTTAGAAGTATTAATGAAGAGAAAGGCTTTTCCAGAGCATTCCTGGCATAAAATCTGATCTAATTTTCTTAAAGCCAAGCCCAGCTCATATAAAGTTAAGGAATAAATGCCCTCCTGTACCATTACAGGTGATGTGCCACAATGGTAGCCATCATATTTGGGCAGGTCAGCCTTAGATATAAAGAACAGCAAGAGAGAGGTACTGAGCAACATGGGGTACGGGTGCTCTGACACCTCGGAGCAAAGTCTCTTGGTGTCTGTCAGTGCCTCACCTCATGGAGAGTTCTACCAAGAACCCAGCTATTCTGCTGGGCAAAGCTGAGCTGAGGCAATGCCTCACCTGCAGCAGAGCACCTGAAGCTGGAAGGAGGAAATCATCCTGTATTTAATCCCCATACAGCAAACAGCAATTCAGATTAACACACCCAGGCAATTAAGGATTGGAGAAGCTTCTGTATCTGTTTGCAACAGTTTGAATAAGCACACATCAGTTTGACTAATATCCGGGGTCTGTGTTTCCCAGGACAGACTAAACAAACCTGGGGAATTAAAGAAGCAAACAGAGCATGTGGCTCAGAAGTGTTCACGTGGGCTGAAGCCACCTCTGCCACCTTCACTGGGACAATTTTCTCTGGCCTTACTGGTGGATGAGTAGGATTCTGCTGCTGCAGTTCCATTCCCTGTCATTTCCTCCTAGCTCTTTCCTTGCTCTGCTGCTTGTTTGAGCCTGGTGCAATTGCTGTTTGCCTGCAGAGCTTCCTTCACTTCTTCCTTTTTATTCGGGGTCCATCTTCCCTTCATGCAGTTTTTATAATCTGATTTTTCGTTCTGCCACTCTTTTCCCTCTGTCTGTCACAGGCAGATGTGGCTGGAGGACAGCAGTGTCCCACAGCCCCACAAACTCTGTGAGTTTGGAGTTCCTTCCAGTTTCCCACACTGCTCTCCTATTCACTGCATTCAGGCAGAGGATAAAGGAAGTGTGCCATGCTACAAGCTGAATTAGAAATGGTGTTTGACTTCCCTTTGTACTTCACAGAAACCTTGCTCTGGGCAGACCATCTGCATAGCACTCACTGTGGGGAAAACCATTGATCAAGGCCTGTCAGCCCAGCTGGGGGAACTTGGGAAAGTAATTCCTTGTGCCACTTCAGTTCTTTAGGGCTTAACATCTGGCTGGAGGGGGAGGCGACAGTTGATGGTTTAACAGTCTTGCTTCCTTTCAAGTTTGGGATGCTGTTTTGATCCCCTGATAAGCCTTTCTGAAATCCTGATTTTAATAACATGGAAAGCATCCAGAAGACTAAGAATAATGCACTGGCTTTGCATTTTCAAAGTGCTTTACAAATACCAGCTAATGAATTCTCAGCAACCTCCTCTGTGAGATAACAATGTATTATTAGCAATGTTCTACAAAGGAAGAAAAATGAGGCAGACAGGGGAAACCCCAAATTTCAGTATTTCCAATAGCCTACTGGGTGCAGTGTTCCCATTGCAAGTGGCTGTTTGAGACATCTGGTTTACAATGACGCTCAGCACCCACTTTTCTTTTAAACAGCTTTGGCATCTCTGAAAGGAGCCAACTCCCCAGCTTGTGGCAGAATGTGGATTACCAGCCTGGACCACACTCGCAGCCAGGCACCACCTAGATAAGCAGATGCCAAAGTTCTTTGTACGTAAGTTCAGCAGTGGGTTTTGAAAATGCTATTTAGTACAATTTAAGCCCATGAAATGGCTGAAAAAGAAGATGCACTCAAATCCTTGGTCAGGAAATACATAATGATCTACTCAACAGAAAATAACTTGATCTCTGCAGAAAGTAAACTGAGTTTTAACTTGTTTGTTCATGTTTCTACCCAAACCTCAGGCTTAGCAGCTGTCCTTAGTCCTTGTGCACATCTGTCTGTCAGCACCATCGAATTCTGATCAGCTGCCTCCCAGTGGTTATGGTTATTCTGGGATTGGAGCTCTGAAGAGGGGAGGATGCAGTGTGCCCTGAATTACATGAACTCTGAGTTTATGAGGGAATTTCAGGCCCAAGACTCTTGGCTTGAATAAAACCAGTGACTCAGAAATGAGGAAGGAGCCATACTGGTCGAAGGTAGGGAACAATCAGATGAGGCTCAGGGGACGCCAGGCAAGTCTGTCACTATTATCTCCCCTCTCCACTGCTGCCCTAGCTAGAGCTGAGAAATTCAATATCTGACACACGCAGATAGGATCAATTGCTGCTCCTGTAAGGGAAGAGGTGACAGCGCTCCTATCTGGCACAAACACCCCATTCCCATCTTGTCAATGACAGCGAGTGACTCTTGGGGCCAGACCTTGGGAACCACACTCCCAATTCTCAACCTGCTATTCTCTCTGCGGGATGCCTTCTCCTTGCCAAAATGCTTGGCAGCACTAGCTGGTAAGTCTTGTGATCTTTATCATGAGACACACAATACTTATGGCCTTCATTAAGACTTCACATCCAAGCCTCATGGTTCTATAAAGAAAATTAAAGGTATCAACCTGAACAAAGTCCAAATGCTCAATAATCAAAAAGTTAAAAAAGCATCATTATAGAGCATGGGGTAGCTGAGTCCCCTGCTAAAAGCAGGAGAGAATATATTCTGTGGTTGGTTTATATAGGTTTTTGAAGGAGGAGGGTGGTAAACACGTAACATGGTGGCTCCTGCAAAGCCTGCTCCCAGGGCAATGTGTTCCTTTGAGACATAATTGATTCCTGCCATCAGGCACCAGCCTGCTCTCCCTGAGGGTCAGCGCTTTCCCACATCCAACCCCATTATCCCACAGACCATGCCTTTTGTACAACACACTCCAGCTATTCATGTGCAAAGCAGCTGTAATCCCCAGACCTTTCAGAGTCAATATACCAGGAAATAATAAATCCCTCTTGTGCACTGCTGAATATGCTGAGAGGTGACTTGTGGGAATTTCAGCTGGGCAGAAAAATAATAAATTCTCCTTAATTTTTAATTATTTGTAATACTCACTGTAGGAAGACTGTATCAGTGGTGCATGACTATTCCTGGGTCACCCACACAAGCAGCTATAGAAACTGCTTTGGCCTCTAACAAATGCAGATCAAATTGTCTCATATGTTTCTTAATGATCAAAGTCCACTTGCCTTCACTTGGGCACCTGGGAATGGGAGTACGTGGAGCATTCTGGATCTAAAGAAAACTAATTAAAAAAGGTTCAACCTGTGAAGAATGTACTTTACAGTAATAAAAGACCCCTTTCTGCCAGGGTTCTAGTGTCCAAAGGAGGCAAAACAATGCCACGCTAATGACATTTAATGGAATATTATATCCAAAACTCTAACAACAACATAACCCTTTCCCCTGAAAAAGGGAGATTTCACTGCACTTCCACTCCATTACTTCACTTGCCTTGTGCGAGCGTGAGAAGCTAATCTTGAATAGCAGATTTTGCAGGATAATTTCTTTATGTATTTCCTCCCGTGCTAAGCAATTTTCTGAAGTACGTATTGTGTAGAATGCAGTAGCACTGAAACACCTGAGCAGAACATGGTGCACGTGTGGGCTGGGAGAAGGGGCTGTCATCTGGGACACCAAAGGAAGCAGTTGCTTGTAAACTGAAACCGCCAGAGGCTCTTTGGGGTTCACCTCAGGCAGCACCCTGCCTTTTCAAACCTTACCCAGAAACCTCCACAGAGCAAGTCATAAGAGTATGAGGATGAAGGGATGTGGTAATACTGCTGGGATTTGTGGTGCTATATTTCAGGAATCTAAAACACTAGGACATGCCCACCCAGCAGCAGTATGGTGTGTGGAACAAGATGCAGAGCCAACAGCTTCACCAAGCAGTCAAAGATAGTTATTTCCACACAGATGTGTCAGCACTTAGGACCTGATGGGTGTTCTCATTGCTACTATCTTCCTCAGGGATGCTGCCACTAGCCTGTGGCACCTGTGAAAGTGAGACCAGAGCTAGCTTGGTCCTAAAAAGCCTTCTATTTTACCTGTGTAAGTAACCCTTTAGAAATGCTAGAGCTGGGAATCCATGGGCTGGCCTGAGGAAGAGACAAAAGCCAACTGGAGATCAGACTGCACGCAGGACAAACCTGCTGGTCCTGCTCTCCAAGCAGCTGTGATGATAAGGGCTGTCCAAGCGAAAAAGCATCACTGCCAGGCTCCCAGCAGATGGAGGGAAAAGAAAATCTTTTGCAGGATAGCAAGAGGAGACCACCCTCTGAGTTTATAAGGCAGCCCAGTGCTGTCCCTTCTCCACTTTGCTCTCATGGGTGCTGAGCAGTATCACCATGAGGACCACTTCAGCCCTGTCCCTACACCCACCACAGACACAGGCTCAGCTCCTGATTCCAAAAGGTCTCTGAAAGAGTTTAGCAGCACTGCTCCCATTTCCCAACAGAGCAAACTGAGGCAAGATGAAGCAAATAGCAGCCCCCAGGCCAGCCAGTGCTGCTGCTGAGCTGGGTATTCCTGCCAGGCACCCCCTTGCTGCACCTCTGAGAAGCCCCTTCCTGCACAGTGAAACTGCACAGCCTCACTTGCTGCAACAGCCATGTGAGTTCATCGTGCCTTGACAGAAGCACAGGCTCCACAAAAGAGTTATTAGCACCAGGCTGTGTGGGTTTGAATTTCCCTGCCTTTCCCATACTTTTCCCCTATTGATAACATTTCTTGCTGGGACAATAGAAGTGTGCCTTGCAACTACTCATGACATTAGTGACGGTGCTTGAGCCTGAATAATTTAAAGGGAAAAAAATCCAACTCCCAAAAGACCATCTGGCTATCAGTTATAATACAGCAATAAAGGTCAGGGCTGCTTCTCAGGAGTTGGGAAAAAGATGGATTTTGACACTGAAGAGTCTCTTCAACCACCTTGTTACATGCCTACCTGTCAGCTCCTAGCTTCTGCCACCATTGCTCCCTTGCAAGGAAAGGGATAATGCAGGATGCCAACTTCTGGAAGGAAAGCCAGCCAAAGAATAGAGGAGGAAGGGCTACACCTTATTATAGCTGGCAAAAGCTAGGGCATGGTCTCTGAGCTGTATCTTATTTTGTATCATAATCCTTTGACTGCTTCAAAGTGTTCATGAGATGTCTTGTCTCCTGGCTTTCCCACAACGCAGGGAATAAAAGGGCTCCAAGGACAACATCTGCCCTCCACAAAGAGCTTAGCCCATTCAGGCCCATACAATGAAAACCATGATGCTGCCTGGTCCAGCGACACCTCCCTCCTTCCTGTCAACTGCCCATTAAACTCAGGCTTCACTTCAGGATTTCCAAGTAAGAAATTGGCTTTGGCTTTCTTACCTCACTGCACACTTCCCTTCACCCTTTCCATTCCAAGATTCCCAGCCACGCTCCCGTGCATAAGCAGTGCACTGGGAAAAGATAAGCACACGTGTGCCTCGGGCACAACAGGCTAGACCCTCGGATGGCAGGATGCAGCACAGCTCTTCTCAGGTAGGGTCTGGGCTATTTTTGGTCCTGCCTCAAGGGCTGTATACAGGCAGGACAAAATAAAAACTTACTTAAAATGTCCACCTAAAATGTCATTCTTTTTCTTGCCTTTACCACAAAAGAAATAATGTTTGCTTAATTGTCATTGAAATTTTAATGTAAATGCAAGCACGCAGCGCTATCCCCGTTTTGCAGATAAGTTTACACAGGGAGGCAGCTATGGTCTCTGAGATCTCATGATTGCTGTCTGAGATCTCAAACTGTGGCAGGTCCTGTCTGCAGTGGGACAGTGTCTGCAGTGTGATGCTCCCTGGTCAGATGGGAACAGAGCACACCATAAATCTCAGGCACTAAATCCCATTCATGACACACCTCTGACTTCCAAAGACCTAAGGCTTCTGGGTTGAATCTGATGCTATTCTTTAGCTCATCTTAACCACCGTTCTTGTAAATGTCTGTATGAAAGAGAGTAGAAAAGGGGAAAAAAAGAGCTACAGGGGTGACAAGGCATGGGCCCAGTTCTGCTAGGAGATGTGTGCTTTCCTTAGTGAAGGCAATGGAAACACTGGTGCAACAGGCCCACAGACCCTGCTGTGTTAAGGGGAAGAGAGAAACAGAGGTTATCATTTCCATTTCCTTCCTATTCCTTATTTACTCACCCTGTCTATCCAACATCTCGCCATCTTGACTGTCAGTTCTCCACAGCATTTATAAGTGTTACGAAACAAGCCTATCATTTCACACTGGTAACACTTTGGCTCACCTATTAGAAGTGTAATACCTGTATGGGCCAACACAAATAGACCCACATTCCGGCAAAGGGCACCTGGGACCCTGGCTGTGAGGTGTCCTCTCCAGAAAGAGCAGAGATGTCCTTGGAGCTGTTGATACTAACCCTAACAGTGTTCCCTTCTTCTTTTCCCGCCTTTCCCCAGAAGCGTGCCTCCTCCACGCTGCAAATGTGACTGGCACATGCAGGGACTCAGGAATGCCATTGATCCCAGACAACCAGCTGGAGGGTCAGTGTTTTCCCAGATCCGGGGGCAGCCCTGAAGAGCCACGCTGCACACTCCACCAGTCAGCGTGGGCAGAAGGTTATTCTCTCCAGGCCATTTGCAATCAATGTACCATGCACTAATAGATGCTTCCTCTATTGTTCAACTGTGTGCCTGGATTGGCTGCATGGCTGTGGGAAACACCAGTGATGCCGAGACTCACATATCTGCTGAAGCTCCCCGATGTATAAATAGAGGCAGTTGATAGCTGCCAAAGCATAGCCTGAACACTCAGCAAGGCAGCCTGACTAGGGGGTCTGTGCCCAGGACTCAAGAGCACTAAGAATGGCTCCCATTGTCATGGTCCACATGGAGGAGAAGCTGCTGCCAAAAGAAAAGAATAAAGTAAGTAGAGCCCCTGACAGGATTGGAAAGGCTGCCCTGTGCTCTATGCAATGAGCTGCCTCTCTCAAGTAAATACTACATAGGAAAATGTGAGATAAAGAGGGAAAAAGTGGTCTGGCAGAAGGCAAACAGGTTAAAGAGAGGAGAATACACAGATTTTTGTAAATGAAATTGAGCGGGGAACAGGCAGGCAGCAAAAAAAGCTCTCCTACCAAAAGTGTCTTTGAACACAAGGGAGGAGAAATAGGTCAGATCTCAGAAAATCCCTAACTCTCTGCTCCATCTCTGTCACAGCTGAGGAAGCCGGTGGTGGAGAAAATGCGGCGTGACCGGATTAACAGCAGCATCGAGCAGCTGAAACTGCTGCTGGAGAAGGAGTTCCAAAGACACCAGCCCAACTCCAAGCTGGAGAAAGCCGACATCCTGGAAGTGGCTGTCAGCTACCTGAAGCAGCAGAGCCAGCTGCAGGACCGTGGTGAGTGCAGAGCACATCTTGCACACCCCTCCTGTATAGCCCTGGGCCCTGAAAGCAAGCAGGGGCTGTGGTAAAAAATCACCACTGTCCCATGTTTTGGTAGTAATCTTAACCCTTTGCATTTGCTTCTTTCTCTCTTTTCTAGCATTCATGCACAAGAACGTAGAGCAGGACTTCAGCAGTGGATACCTGCGGTGCCTCAAGGAAGCTATGCACTTTCTGTCCTACTATGAACCCAAGAAGGAAACTCAGGTGCAGCTGATAAAGCACTTCTGCAAAGCTCAGATGAGTGCAGATGTCATGTACTCTCCTGCTCCGCGCAGTTCACCTCTGTCACCCTGCCTGTTTGCCAGAAAGCAGCCTGCACAGAAGACTGTGGCTGCTGCTCCTACCATCTGGAGACCCTGGCAGACTTGCTGAACTTTGCTTTATTCCTACGTTTTGCTACAAAAACTAGAGGGACCTGTGATTGAATAGTTCCTCTTTAAAGTAGGAAACATTGCTTTCCAAAGGCGGGAGGGGGTCAGTTATTGTTTTTCTGTCACAAGAAATGAGGGTCGCTAGGTAGTTTCCCTTCATAGTGAAGGACTGTGTGTGTATCTTGCAGCAAATTTGCTGCTTTTATTGGCGGGTCTTAGCCAAAGAGAGAACCACGTTCTGAGGTGATTTAGAGAGCCAAAGCTCTTCAGTTTCCATCACACTTTTGCTTGACAAGGCTGTCAGTGCAAATCTTTCTGCTAATTCCCTGGGTCACTGGTTCAAGTGCTCCATTGTCTCCAGATGATGTACTGACCTTCCTAAAGAAGGAGCACTTTGAAGAATGTATTTTGTATCATAAAGAAAGTATTGAGCCTTTATCTTCTGAGTGAAAGCTGTTATTAAGAAATGCTGATTCCTCTGCAGTTCCTGTGCTATTTTTAGTCTATCTTCTTTCAGAGAGTTATAATGGTAACAGATAGCTCTAGGGAAAATTCTCCTCATGTCAGCATGTGCTGCTCTCAGCTGAGGAATACTTGATGCCTTTTGTAAAGGAAATACCTGTGATATATCTTGAGGAAAAGGGGGAGGAAGGGAGGCAGTAAGCGTTTTATAATCATTCACTGAACATGCTGAAGAGCTTAAAAAGCTTTTATAAAGTTGTGATGTATTCATCCTGTGTGATGTTCAACTTTGTTGTCTTTACTATACAATACAATAAAACGGTTTTAGTCATTAATCCTTTGGTTTGAAATGATTAAAATGGCTGGGCTGAGTGTTGCAGGTAAACTCCTCTTGCAGTAGGGGAGCTATCAGGTCATGTCATATTTTTGAGCCCTTCATTCCATTACATAGCTTATATTTGTGACATTTATTTGGCAGAACGGGATTTCAGACCCTGCCAACAAGCAACCTCTGGAAAAGTTATTAGCAATTAAAAGGGAGGTGAAACTGAAGTGGGATACTGAGAGGTGTAGACCCAGATACTTCATAGCAACCTATTCAGACCTCAACAAATCACTAATTTCACAGCCACTTTATTTCCCCCCACTCCCCATTCATTTGCCTGCCAACCTGAGGTCAGCCGTATGCTTTCTGTCCATTTAGAGGGCAGCAACATGAAAAACTCTTAATAACTTCCAAAGAGTTTGGCACCTAACTCTGGGGAATCTCACCCGTTTCTGTGAAACTAGTTTTTGTGAACTAGTTTTTGTTGCCTTTTAATTTAGCACCTTCTGTTGCTGAAACATGAATTCTATTAGGCAGGAACAGAATTTCTTTACTGATGTGAAATATGCCCATATATTTAAATGACCATTTAAATGATCCTCCCTTGATTTTTTTCACCGCACCTCAACTCAGAAAACAGATTTAGCATATCCTCTTAGGTGGGGATTTACAGCACTAGCTGAGGAAGAGAAGTGTGAGAAGGGGATCTTAAAGCCACCAACAGCCTTTCCAAAAGACAGCACTTTCCCCAGTAACATTCACTCACTTTTCCTTAGAAGAGTTCCAATTCCTTGCTAAGCAGGTACTATTTACCTTTTATGTTTCCTTCTCTTCAAAGTAAAATAAATCTGCACAAATAATCAGTTCACAAAACTATTATCTAATCACAGTAACACATTGATTTGGATATCTGACCAACCTCTCATTCTTCCAGAGATACAGTAAGTGTCAAACACCACTGGTCAACTGTTTAAACTCTCCTCAGATTCCCTGGGAAAGGTGCCCTGGAAAACCTTTGTTTCTACCATATGCTTTTTTTCCTTGGAAATATTTGATCTTGTCAAATGGCTGCCTAACTAAGCACTAAGCAAACTCAGCTCTGCTAAACTGGCAAGATCAAATGTCATTCTGACACTGCCAGGGTACCTGGCCAGTCCTCACTTGATTTGTGATTAAACCCTCCGTTACACATATGGGAACTAAAAAGCCAGCTAGCTGGGTCAGGAACATATTGGTCTACCTTGTCACAGTTGCATGGATCATTTTGGTTATTATTTTACCTTGAATTCACATGCTGGCTGAACGCTTTTCACCTGTTTGCCAGTGCAATACAAGGTGGGGTTTTGGTACAGTTCTGCAATTCATCACGGCTGATACTAATGCTGCAGATGAAGTTGTTCCTCCTAATTAACTACTAAATAATTCAGAGAAGATATTTTTAGGTTTTGTGGTTGCTTAGTGATCTTGCAAGAGTCACTTCACCTTGCTGTGCTCAACTTGTCTGTGCCAGTTAGTACAAGCTTCTGAATCCCAGCAGAATTCAACCTGTGTTTTTAAATCAGGCCTAATCAAGGCAGTTGCAGATAGAAAGTTTGGTTTGGGGGAGTTCAGACTCAGGCAGAATGCAACGTGCCCCAGAGCACACCCCAACCTGACCATGCACCACAGGAACTGGGAGTGGAATCACACATGGCATGGGGAAGCACGGATGGGCATTCTCTGCAGCTAACATGTTGCCACCCAAGTAAACCCCGTTGTGAGTGTCACAGTTGGCAGCATCCCTGCAGTTTGCTTACAGCTGACAGCATCAGTGGAAAAGAGAAAAGGAAACCAAAGAAGAGCTGCACAAACTGGAGATGACTGCTGCAGGTGAACCCAGTCCCTCTAGTTCTAGCCTAACACAGGAACATGCCATAGAAATGATAACTGTGCAAAACTCATGTGAGATCAGTGAGGCTTCTAAGCCCAGAACTCCTGCCACCTATGTTGGCATAAACCTAGAGACATGGCTCCTGTCACTCAAACCACAAGCTCCAATTCTCATTTACACTGAGGCTATACTATATTGCTCTGGCTGTAGCAGGGTGTAGCAGACAGTACATAGCTGTCAGTGCACCTGCGATTCAGACCTACCATTTGCAGAGTGGTGTAAGGGAGAGGGCAAGAAACCAAACCCCACCAGAAAGCCTCCCCTTGCTCCAGGGATGCGTAGCTGATGCAATTGCACTGCTTCTGGTTTTTGCCAGCCAAAGACTTGCCCTCTGGGCTTTAATGTAGCAATTACCTGAATGCTAAAAGCCAGACCTCTGGTTTCCCCAGTCCCAGCACAGCAAAGGTTATGTTTACAATTTATTAATTATTATCACTTATAATAATTGAACGCAAAGCTTCTTATTGCTCCTCTGTCCCCTGGGGTGACTCTCCCCTGCTCCAACACATTCCCACCCTTAGGGAAGATGTTGTTTATTATGCTGATCCCACAGTCCAGGAATACTCTCCTGACAAAGCCCCTATTAACCTCAGAGTGTGGGCCCGAGTTTCTCAGAGTTTCCCACACTTTCTTCCCTATTTATGACATTCAAAGGGACCACAAAGGAAGCGTGCCTCACAACAGCCCACATTAGTGACGCTCTTTGGCTTTGCATTGTGATGACCAGCAATTCCTGTCCCGATAGACCATCTGGAGAGCTATTTTCCCAAGGAGCACATTGATCGATCAGTATTATGCCAGAGCCCTTTTAAAACTTGGGAATGTTATGCTCTTTGACACTAAATAGGTGTCTCAAGAGGGGTTGTCAGAAAGATTTTAAACCATTTAAGGAAGGCACACACAGAAAAATAAAAGTCATAACTACTTATTTAAAAACACCATCAATAGCATTTGTGAGAGGCTGACATGAATGTAGGAATTGGTCTCATATAAAAATGCTCTAGAAGTGATATAAAATGCTTTAAGCCATCATGTTGTATGCTGTAACTATAGCCATAGACGTACAGGAGCACTGCTTTTTCAATCTGCATAACATAGACAATGAAAGCGTGGGTTTCTGTACTCTCTTCTGTTAGCCCATCTTCCCCCAGACCTGTTGCTACATTGCAACATGCCGGGTTCCCTCGATGGAAAGCCAAGTATCAGATGGGTTAAGGAAGCTGTCAATTGGTATTACAAATCGTAGCATCTTCTGTGAAAACAGTATGTGTAGTAAGCTTGCCCCTGGGCTGAGATCATCACCTACAAACCAGAAGCAGAAAGCTCCAAGGTCCAGTACCCATTCCCTATGCCAGCAGTCCTCCAGCTGTTCCAATTTATGGACTGTAATGAACACAAGCCTAGTAATGATAGTCTTGGCATGGGTTGGTTGGTTTGTTACCTTTGCTGGATCCTTTGTGGTTTTCTCTCAACTTAAAGCAAGCTATGGTGCACAGCTTGCACACCATAGCATGGGGCCAAATGGTGAGCATCTGCAGTTGGAGACAATTAATCCTCAGGAAAAGCCAGGACTCCTGCCTGACAGCAAGTCTGCAAGTACAGCCTCTGACAACTGTTTGCAGATTCCTATTTCCCCTCTCTTCAATATCCACAGCAAGTGAGAGAGAAGACACATCCCGGTTTTCATGTGTGATTTTGAAGACTGCATCTTCATGAGGCAGCTCATGAGTGATGTGATTTACAAAGAAACAAGGCCACTGAGAAAGCAAGCCTCTTTGTCCACAGCAGAGATGTCATCTCTCAGGAGTGGGGCCAGATTTCCCACCATCCTCCAAAGAAGGGAATTATTGTGTCCCATCATTTAGTCAACACCACATGTTTGGCAGTTTTGGGAATTTGTTTCTTTTAACCAGGAAAACCCTTGCTTCTGAGCCTCAACAATCAGTCTTTCATTTCATTCCAGCTCTGCACTGACAGCCAGAGAGGCACAAATTCCTCCCATGGAGATGATGCACAATGACAAGGATTTGGATCACAAATGTGGCTCAGCAGGACAGATGATTGTGCTAATAGCTGAATTTCTAAAAAAGCCCAAATTGAGCAAACTAGTTACAGACTTTTAACAAAGAACAACTGAACTGCCTACAGCACAGGACCTTTTCCTTACTGAAATCCTTGCAAAAAGTGCACTCTGCACTCAGTTCCATAAGGAATATACTCTTGGGACATCCTAAGTCTAGACAATTTATTATCCTGATGCAACTGGAAAATATAATTGCTGTTAAGTGTTCAGGCCTTAATAATCAAACCAAACAGGGAAGGAGGGGGAAATATTTCTTTCTCTTATCCACTGACATTCTAACAGAGGGAAGGTGAAGGAGGCACAGGGGGACCAGAGGATTTGCTAACAGTCAGAGGGGGAGAGAAGCTGGGAGTTGGTGAGCGCAGAGGGCTGTGGGATTTGTGCTGGCTGCCTGGTTCACCATTCACATCAGATGGTGCAAGGCCACAGTTCTGAGGATTTCCCACATTGCCCCATTCACAGTGTTAAACTGTGAACAAAAGAAGTGTGCCTCTGTGGGTCCTGAGAAGAAAGCTGGCGCCTGCTGCACCATCTGCCCAGCACTTAAAGGAAGGGATAATGCTTTAATCAGTGGGAGTTGGTTTAGCCCTTCGGAGTCCAAGGACATTGTGCTGGGGATAGGATGGCATTATTTAAAACCACTCATATTTCCAGGGCTGAAAATTGGGTCAAAGCTTCCCTCCCATCTCACTGTGCCCACTGCTGCTGCTAACATACTCCTTCCCATACGCTGCGTGGCAGGACCTGCTGTCCATTCCATCCCACGTGACCCCAAGGAGAGATCCACAAAACCCTGTGCTTGGCTTCATGGTCTAATAACAGCACAAGTAACACTGCTGATAACGAGCTGACAAAGTAACTCAGGAAACCGATCCCGAGTAGGACTCATACTCCTTGTTCAATTGTAGGTTTTTTAACAACCCTTAACAATTAAAATTACTACAATTAAAATTGTTTAGATGGATCCCTAT